ATAGATAGATAGATAGATAGATAGATAGATAGATAGATAGATAGATAGATAGATAGATAGATAGATAGATAGATAGATAGATAGATAGATAGATATGTGTGTCTTTTTTCTATACTGGTTTTCCTGATTCAATAGGGAACCCTGCAGGCACACACCATGAATGGCACACACATACACACTGGGAATAGTCTGAGTTCAGCACAGCTGCAGTCACAGTTAATTGGGTAGACAGGGAGTGCTCACAACACCCAAAGGATTCTTTTTAAATGTGTGTGTTCCCTTTTACATCCCTTTACTCGTGTGACCTAGAGCCTCTCCTTCACTGATGGAGTGTTAGGGTGATAGATGGAATGAGTCTTCTCTCTCTTCCTCACCCTGACTCCCAGCCTATCCATCCATCCATCCATCCTCTCTGGACAAAAAGGAAGGGGTGAGGAATGAAGTGATGGATGAGTAGGGAAAAGTTTCCTAATGCGTTAATGTTCTTCTCCTGAGAGGAGGGGAGCAGAGGAGATAAGGAGAGGCCGTGTCACGTGATGATCAGGGAGAAAGAGGGCGAGAGGGCCACATCTCCAACCTGGAATAGCCCGACAGCAGCCGCCTCCCTGGAGTTTCTCTTTCAAACCCACATTGAGCACTTGCTGTTTGTCTCTTATCGTGTCAGGGGAGAGTTATTTAAAAAAAGAAAGAAAGCAAGAGAGAAAGAAAAGAAAATTTGATCAGAGGGGAGGGGATCTGATTTGATTAGTCGTGACTCCAGACCACAGGAGCGCTTGGCTGTAGTCTCTCTTTCTCTCTCTTCATTATCTGATCGGCCTTCTCTTTTTGCATCTCTTCCCATACTCTCATATTCGTAATGGGAGTCAGCCATTGTGAGTGACTTTAATGCACTGATGTTCCACTAACAACTTTCCTTTAAAACAAGGCTTCGTCGACTCCAGTCCTCAACACAGCAGCTCTACTGTATGTTGTCCCAGTGTAAAACCGCCTGTCTCACTTTCTGAACATCACCACCTCCTCCTTCTCCTTCTCCTCCTCCTCCTCCTCACCCCTGCCTTCACCCCAACTCCCCCCAACCATTTCCCACTTCCAACAGAAGCTCAGAGTAAGCCCTACTACTCGGATTACTCCCCCACCCGCCTTCTCATCCACAAGATGTGCACCAGCCACTACTTGGACCTGTTCATCACCATCGTAATAGGCCTCAACGTCATCACCATGTCAATGGAGCACTATCAGCAGCCTAAGGTCAGATGTTTGGAAAAACAGGATGCTGGCTTGGCTCAGTCCTTTGGAGGAAAAAAAGAGAAAAAAGTTATACACATATGTTTACATGTCAATCTAAAAAAAATCACTATGTTTGAATATTAATATTGAATATAAATGAAAAAATATTCATGTTAAATATTAAAAATTCCTTTGGATGTTCTTTTTCCATGAGTGGTTTTTAATTACCATCTCATATCAGTCACTTCAGATGATAGAATGAATACAGTGCAGCTTCTCATAGTCCTACAGTTACAGACAAATGCACGCTCTTTTGTTGTGTCAGGAGTCTAATTCTTCAAATTTTGCCAATTCTTTCAAGTTTTTCTGCCATGAAAATAATATAAAAAGCTGATTATTGGCAACGCACGTTGGCTGTTAGACACTCCATTCCTTAATCTTCAGGTCAGTGGCGTCTAAAACGAATGTTATTGGAATTCTAGTTCAGCCTTCCAGAAACATGAGGTTTATAGCATTGAATGCTTTAGGAGACAGTGTCAGGTGAACAAGCCTTTCCAACGATAATAAAATACTAATGAAAAAAACCCCCGCCTCACCAGTTCTTTGAACAAGGCTGAGAGAGGGATAAGGTCATCAGGGAAAACAAATGAAAGTTAGATAAGAACTGTAAAAAGCTTGGCTAGAAAGGCAGTGGTAAACTATAGAGGGAGGTCAAAAGAATAAATACTGAATTTTTGGACAATCAGTGAAAAGAAAACAGTCATATTAAAGGACTTTAAATAATGCTCCAAACTGTAGAGAATTAAGGTAACCAGGTTTAGCCCAGATCCAATCCATTAAAGAAAGGTAATTATATGTATCCTGAGAATCACTGAGGTCTGGTTATGGATTCTGAGGATTTATAGTCTATATTTTAATCACCATCAGGCATCAGGCTTTGCCAGCTGGGATTTCTCCAACACTCAAATATGAGTCCATCACTTCATGTATCACATTGTTGGCCAGCAACAAACTGAGGTGGATTTTTGAAAAAATAAATGTGACTGAGTGGATAAAGTTGTATTTAGCAAGATGCATCAGATATCAATGGAGAGTCAACAAAAGCATAGGATTGCATTACAGGGTGGATAAGGGTATTGTAAGGCATGGTATATGAAAATGTAGAGCAGGAAGCTAGATCCTAGCAACATGCTAAGAATATTAGTAGACAGTAAAAAATTGAAGTTGTTTTTGAATTCTCTAAATATCTGGCTAGTACCACAATATAATGTTTGAATTGTTGCCTCTGATTGCCATCACAGTGGATTTTAGATCAAACAAACAAATTTCAACTTTTAACTTTAATTCGGGGATTTCATAAAAGCCTTGCATTAACTGTTGATGAATTATAGCCATTTTTATGCATGTTACCCCATTTTCCATTGTTTCTGAGGCAACTGATTGACAAGCAGGTTCACGGGCATGTGAGGCCCAGGTCCAGAGAAAGTGAGAGAGGCTATCTTAAAGCTGAAAACAATTAACCTATTAAACAGACAGCAAAAACTTTAGGAGTCACCAAATCAGCAACTAGTTTGTTTGTTTTTTAAAAAGGACATGATGACAGAATTCTTTCCATGGTTAAGAAAAACAACTTCACAACATCTGTCAAAGTCAAGCACACTCTTGAGTGGGCATATCATTGTCGACCCTAAAATGAAGAGACACCTTCATGAATGTAAATATAAAAGGGTTTACAACGAAGAAAACATCTAAAACAGTTCTGTCACTGGAGCCTATCCCAGCTGTCTTAAGGCGAGAGGCAGGGTACACCCTGGACAGCTTGACAGTCTGTCGTAGGGCAAAGACATAGACACAACCATTCGCACTCACATTCACTCCTATGGGCCATTTAGAGTTTCCATGTTTCCATTCTGCATGTCTTTGGACTGTGGGAGGAAGTTGGAGTACCTGGAGAGACCCACACAAACACCGGGAGAACATGCAAACTCCACACATAGAAAAACCCTGGCCTAATGGTGGAATTGAACTCAGGACATTCTTGCTGTGAGGCAGCAGTGGTAACCACCGTGCCACTGTGCTGCCAGACAGGCAGCTCAGTAGGTAGACTGTTTGCCCCATGAGCAAAAAGTCAGGGGTTCAAATTCGTACCAGATCTACACAATGGCTGCCCACTGCTTCACTGAGTGAGTGGCTTAAATTCAGAGGACTAATTCCCTATGGGATTAGTATATGTTTATATATAATTTGTATAGATGAAAGTGAAATTATGTTGGGGGAAAAGGATTCAGAAGAAGGGAAACAGCTCGTGATCCAAAGCATAATACGTCATCTGTCAAACACGGTGGAGGCTGCCTTTGGAAGCGAGCCACTATTGTCTATTGATAATGTGACGTTACCAGGAGAAGCAGGATGAGTTCTACAGTATACAGAGCTGTGCTCTCTGTCGCTGCAAAAGATTTTCATCCGAGTGCGGAGACAGTCCTTACATTTAAAATAATGCTAGTTAGTTCAGTTACTTTTGAGCTTCTGAAAATGGGGTACCACATGTCAAAACAGCTGTAATTTCTAAACAGTTACCACAGTTCAGCCAAACTTATAATAAATCTGCGAGTACTGCATTTGGGTCCTCTTTCTCTTCACACCTGACCATGACAACCCGGAGGTCACATCTTCATCATTTGATTTAAAATCTACTGTGGTCACAAACTGAGTTACTGTCCAAACATTTATGGAACTAACCATATAAAGCTGATCTCTGTCAGTAGGTACTAGAGAATATGTTAAGGTACAATAGAAGGTTTGGTGGTTTAGAGCAGTGATTGGTTAAACTGAATGATGTTTTCAAGGAACCGTTGGTGTCAGATTAGAAGCTTTTTGGGTAGAATGTGGGGGTTTTACTTTTTAGTACAACAGAAGGTTGTACCAACGGATACCCTTAAAAGAAACAGAATGTTGTTTGTTAGAAGGCATTAAGACTGAACAGTGTTACTGGGTAAGATAGAAAGTTTAGCACAACAGATGGTGGCCAATACAGTGCAGCATCTCTGGGAAGAGTAAGAGGTTTGCTAAAATGCCTGGAATTTGTTTTTTGTTTGTTTATCTTGTACAACAACATCATTAGTAAAATTGTTATTAGATAGAATTGCCGAGTATAGATATTAAATAACGTTAGGTAGAACTGAATATATTTGGTTTGATAAGAGACTACTTGGGAGTATGATATGTCAACAGAGAGTGCTAGCATAAAATGTTGTAATAAGTGTAAAATCTTCCTGCAGGAATCAATCAATGGTCTCTGACTGCTTTTAAAGTAGAACAAATTGTAGAAAATAGAAAATAATAGATGGCTGGCATCAAGGGATTTATCACAAACTGGTGTTAGTGTATGAACTGCCACCAGTGAGACTTCAGTCCAATCCCTCCTGATGACCAGTTCCCTCCACAGCTCTCTGTTAAAGGTCAGTTTTTACATGCAGATGGGAAATGTGAATTCTCCCTCCAGCAAAAAAAAAAGAAAGAAGGAGAAATGGCCACTTTGATTCTAATGGGCTTTTCATGGAGAATGAGGGATAAACAGAGGGGATGGTGTGATCTATTCATGGAATGGCTAATTCTGAAGAAAGGACAGCCTTTGCATTATGGACCCTTTAGTATTTTATGCAAGGATTATAAAAGCATGAACGTGGTTTATTTAAGCTGCAAAACTAAGCAGCATAACAAGTCATTCAGTTTAAATCAGTGTTTTCCCATTAAAATATGAAAAAGATAGCAGCGAGGTGAGATCATTTCATTGGTTTTCTCTGCAGCTTCAGCACATTTCGATAAATAATGAAAACCACAGATCGCCATGGTGGAGTAAGAGAGAAAATTTAATGCCGGCTTTACAGAGTTGTTAAAATGAATACTTTTGCACTTTATGAATCTGTAACTTTTTTTATCATTTCTCTCAGGAGCTGGATGAAGCACTGAAGATCTGTAACTACATCTTCACTCTCATTTTTGTGCTGGAGTCAGTCTTCAAGCTGGTTGCCTTCGGCTTCCGACGCTTCTTCAAGGACAAGTCAGTATATAAATCTCTCGCAAGTTCCCCGACGTGTCATGTTGAACTTTCCTACACTGACACAAAGAAAAACTGAGATTCTGAAGAAACATTTGCCTCCTGTTTTTCGGTTCTGACATTTGGGGTGGATGTGATATTTTAGTAGATTAGTGGTTGCAAGCACTTGTCTTTAAATTGTGAGTCATGTAGAAAATCTGAGGCAGCGTTCAGAGAAGTTAAATGAGCTTTTTCTAAGGTGCTCCAGCGACTGGTTCTCAGAGAGGCCTGCATGAATACAAACAGCCTTGTTAAACACCAATAAAACACAAATGCCTTAGATGATTTCATAGCTTTGAAATCTCTGGCTTTCTGGTGAAAACCACACAATAATACACAAACACAATCCCAGCAGCATTGCTGCATACTGGCACATGTTGCATATAAAGAAATACACCCACTAAACCCACACGCTTCAGTGGAGACATCGTGTTTCTGGACCAGAGCTGACCACCTAGGAGTCCACGATGTCTGTCCCGTTCACCAGAGAAAGACCATTATCCTTTTCAAGTCTGGCAACAGCCCAGTTTAAGAACAGCTCAGTCCACAACCTTTTATTTTTGCACATATGATCAGGCTGTTTCCAGGTACAGCAGCATTTAGCCAAAAAACCCCTGAGCTAATTTAAAAATACATATATAATTTCAGGCGGATTGATTAATGTAGTTTGAGTAGATGTAGGGATATGTGGATTTAAATGTCAAACTCTGAGTGAAACAAAGCCTCACATGGATATTAACAATGTAAATAGCAGTGCAATAACCAGGTTACTGCGACCACCCACCTCTGTCTTCAGGTTTTATACGTTCACTTCGTTCCAGACTTGTCGTTTATTGAACGGCAACTTCAAAACTGGTCATGTCTGAACATTTTGTGGACTATGCCTATGTGACTGGAATCACATCGTGGCTGCTTTTTAAAAAACTTTCCTCATAGCACTTAAAATAGTCAGCACGCTCTCACTGTCATGGAGAAAATGATCCGTCTCTAAATTTCATGAGTTATTTGATTAGTTAAATATGCATGACTAAAGCTTTGGAACACTGAGGTGATACATTATACAGAGTCTTTTGAGCGTCACTGTAGACTTAAAAAAGGCCATGAAAGCTGTGTTGTACCCAGGATTCTTCCTTAGCGTTATCCATTTTCTATCCATGTTGAAGTTCTCCTAAATAAGGGACCGTCTCTGTCTCTGTCTGGGCAGAATTGTGGTGGAGTTCTTACTATTGTGATGTCAAATTTGGAGTGTTTCCTCTAAGCACCCCAACTTACTCAGTCAAAAACATAAGACTGCAGTTCTGAGTTGGACTGTTGTCGATTTCTTAAAGTTCAAAGTCATCAGATCTGTGACTCAGTTCTGACTGAAGTCCACTTCATATGACTGGAGTTCACACTTGTGTGATGGTGGAAATGACTCACATATGGGTGATTTGTTTGAGTCCATTTTTGCAGCCAATCACATTTATCCGAGGTTTCAGTGAAAACAACTAACCCAAGTCTGTGTTTGGTGCTGATGAGTATGTTTTGTGTACGTCTGTGTGTGGTTGTTGGCGTGTAGGTGGAACCAGCTGGATCTGGCCATCGTGCTGCTGTCCATCATGGGCATCACTTTGGAGGAGATTGAGGTCAACGCTTCCCTGCCCATCAACCCCACCATCATTCGCATCATGAGAGTGCTGAGGATTGCTCGAGGTATG